GCTGGTAAAAAAGCTGAAACGACATTTTTGAAAGATCTCACTATTGATAGTATTTTGAATTGTGTAAGTTATACAAAACTACCAGATATATTTGTTGAATATTGAATGTGGTGAAATAGTTTGAAAGCATACTTATTAGAAATCTGGAGGCCAACATTAGGAGAAACGGGAGTTCAAATTGAGCTTTTTGTTTGGTATGAAAAGACTGCTATGCTGAAAACAAGAAGAGATCCAAACTTCAACAACCACAATTTAAAATGTGCCTGTCAGGGTAGCAGGCTTGGGATGTGGGGTTGGGGCCTGGGGCTAGAACCTGGGAACCCTGGAGGTGGGAATTGGTGCTGGGATATAGTATGTCTAAAACTCAACTGTTAATAACTTTGTACATCATGGTGCTCTAATAAAATTTTTTAAATAAAAAATTGTTTTTACTTGTTATAAAGATTTCCCTACAGTAAATAAAAATTTTATTTTTACTCTGATGTAGAGGTGTGGATGTGGTGTGTGTGCGTGTGGATGTGTATAGCACTGTAGCACTGTCCTCCCGTTGTTCATCAATTTTTTCAAGCAGGCACCAGTAATGTCTCCATTGTGAGACTTGTTCTTTGGCATATTGAAAACATCACGTGGAGCTTGCCAGGCTCTTCCATGTGGGTGGTATAATCTCTGTAGCTTGCCAGGCTCTCCGAGAGGGACGGAGTGACAGAGGAATAGAACCCGGGTTGGCTGCGTGCATGGCAAACGTCCTACCTGTAAAATCTTATCACACCGAAGGTTGTGTGTTCACGGGCTCACTGGATGGCACTGTCTCACCGCCTGCGTTCGGTGCTCTTGAGCCGCTGTGTGTGGCCTGGATCGGAACGGCTTTTGGCCAAGGGCAGACGGAAGAAGAAACGAGGGCCAGGCCGGTCTATATCAATAGTAGTTTATTCCAATCCTCTTCACTCCTGTCTTTCTCTGCCTCCTTCTCTCCTGGGCCCCAATCTTGGAACCTCTCTCCTTCTGGCTCTGACTCTGGATCTCTGGAGCACGAGCTCTCTCGCTTCTGACTCCCCTCTCTGAGCTTACATCTTGGTTTATATAGCAGTCACATAAGGCGGTGACATAAAGGTGGGTTGAATACTGATGAATCAACAAAGAGAGGTAAGACCACTCCTCCAGGAGATTAACTCAAGGATAAAATCTCATCTACAGAGATTACTTCAGATTACTAGGAGATCCACTCAAGGGTGGGATCCCAACAAGGGTGTGTTCTTCCCTCAGTTAGTAATCTACTTAAATAGTTGTAATAAATCTGCTTCTAATATTTCTAGCAATGTCATTCTGTATGAGCACAGTAAGAGATATAAATTTAGTTTGGTTCTTCCTGAGAACATCTCACTATACGTTCCGCAGTCCTCGGGCCAGGTTAATCTTCCTAGCTCCAGCAGGGTCCTATTCTCGTCGTTACTTACTTTTGGACCATGACAGCATTTGTCCATGATCATGCCCTCAACTTATAGTTGAGTATCGTGGCTCTTTGGCCTGGCCCATTTCAATGCCAGGGTAGCTCACTGCTCGCCCTGGGTCCATTCAGTCCCTCGTCGGGACCCTGCTTTTGGGGTGCGAGGAACTAAGGGCAACTGAGTCAAGAAATCAGATGCCCAGGAGTAAATATTATTCAGAGTCAATCAACTCCCAAGTTACAAAGCATAATATTAACTGTCTTCCTGTGTTCATACAGAAAGGACATTGCTTACAAGTTCAGTGTCCTTAGATGGGTGTGACCTGACAAACCTAAGCTACCTGAGGAAGGACAAAAGAGTGTTATCCTACACTACCCACTGTGCTATTGCTCTAGCCAATGTGTGTGTACACACACACACACACACAAACCACAGAGCCAACAGCCGTAAAAGCATGATACTCAAAAATGTGCCTATTGAAGAGACAGGCTTGGGGGTGGGAGGGAACCTGGAAACATTGGTAGAGGGAAATCAACACTGGTGGTAGGATTGGTGTGGAACGTTATGTGCTAGAAATTCAACTGTGAATAATTTTGTAAATCACGGTGCCTCAATAAAATTGTCTTAAATATGTTTCTTTTCACTGTGCTGAGTATTGTAGCCAGGGCCCCACATAGGTAGAAAAGCATATACTACTACGGAGCCATCTTTCTGACCACTTATTTTATTGTAGATCTTTAGGTAATACTAGGTTATGGGAATATTTTTGGTTTTTGAACCACACCTTGCTGCACTTAGGGCTTATTCCTAACTCTAAACTTGGAGAGCACTTCTGGCGGCCTCTGGGGACCATATATTATGCCAAGGATCTAACCCAGGGTAGTTGTATGCAAGGCAAGCACTTCATCTGCTGTAGGATAACACTCTTTTGTCCTTCCTCAGGTAGCTTAGGTAGCTTAGCTTGAGCATCTGCTTTCTTGACTCAGTTGCCCTTAGTTCCTAGCACCCCAAAAGCAGGGTTCCAACGAGGGACTGAATGGACCCAGGGCAAGCAGTGAGCTACCCTGGCATCAAAATGGGCCAGGCCAAAGCGCCACGATACTCAACTATAAGTTGAGGGCATGATCATGGATAAATGCTGTCATGGTCCAAAGTAAGTAACGACAAGACTAGGACCCTGTTAGGGCTAGGAAGACTAACCTGGCCTGAGGACTGCAGAATGTATAATGAGATGTTTATATCTCTTACTGTGCTCACATAGAATAACATTGCTAGAAATATTAGAAGTAGATTTACAACTATTTAAGTAGATTACTAGCTGAGGAAAGAACACACCCTTGTTAGGATCCTTGAGCAGATCTAGTAATCTGGAGTAATCTCTTTAGATGAGATTTTATCCTTGAGTTAATCTCCTGGAGGAGTGATTTTACCTCTCATTGTTGATTTGTCAATATTCAACCCACCTTTATGTCACCCCTTACGTGATTGCTATATAAACTAAGATTGTAAACTCGAGAGGAGAGTCAGAAGCGGGAAGAGTCAGAAGCAAGAGGGCTCAGGCTCCAGAGATCCAGAGTCAGAGCCAGAAGGAGAGAGGTTCCAGATTGGGGCCCAGGAGAGAAGGAGGCAGAGAGAGAGAGGAGTGAAGAGGATTGGAATAAACTACTATTGATATAGACCGGCCTGGCCCTCGTTTCTTCTTGTCTGCCCTTGGCCAACAGCCATCCTGATCCAGGCTACACACAGAGGCTCAAGAGCACCGAAAGCGGGCGGTGAGACAGTGCCATCCAGTGAGCCCGCGAATACGCAACCTTTGGCTTGATAAGATTTTACAATCTGCTGTACTTCTCTCCAGCTCCTAATCTTTTTAAAGCTATGTTTGATTTACTTTAAAGAAAATTACTTTATAAAAATACTTCATATCGTTTGAGTATAATGTAAACAGTATTTATGTAGTACTATGTAAGTGTAATTAAATATTCATATATTAAATCTATAATTGCCCACCACTTTTAAAATCTAGTGATTAGAGTTATACTTTAGACTACATTTGTATCCAACTTTCTGTATCTCTTTTTCCTTAATTTTTACATATCAGATAATTATATCATAAGAAAATTATGAGGTAGCATAAGTTAATAATGATCATCTTCCTATTTATTACCCATAGCACCTTGCACAGTATAATAAAGTCTCAGAACATGGTTGATAAGTTTTACGGGTCTCTTTCTATTTTTGTAAAAATTATACAAATAATACAGATTCAGTCTAGAAAAATTAGAAAATTCAGAAAAACAAACAAGATATCACTCAAAAACTTATCTCACCATTTAAATAGCATTCCTCCAGATGTTTCCTATACAATTATGTACATGTAATAAATTAATACATGGAAATTTAAAGTAAAATTATCCTTTCTACAGTTACGTACCAGCTTATATACTAATATGTATGATATAATGTCTATCATTTGTTTCCCTCCAAATACTCAATTGTATTGTTATTATTATTATTTTTCATCATTACCAACTATACTCAGGTCTTACTCCTGACTTTATGCTTGGGGATCACTCCTGGTTGTGCCAGGATCAAACCAGGGCTGGCTGGATACAAGGCAAGCACCTTAATCCCTATGCTATCTCTCCAGCCACATGTCTTCATTTTTTAATGACTGCCTAATTTGCTATGTGACTATGCCATGGTTTGTTTAATCTTTTTCTAATAAATATTTAAATTTGGGTTACCTTGTTGTTAGCAAGTTATTTAATCATACCCTTGTATAAATAGTTTTACATAATTATTTGGATATTTGCTTAAAGTAACATGGAATCTGTAGATCAACAATGTATTATTTTAAGAGCCCTTTATCCTATTGTCAAATTTTCCTCTAAAAATGTATCCGCTTCAGTCTTTATTAGTGGAAAAAGGAAAATCACTAACATGCAAAAATAGATTTTCTGCTGTTGGGTGAATTAGAATCATAGGATAATATGTGTTTGTATAGAATTTGCATAGAATGCTGTGCATTTGAAGATTTTGATTTTTTTGGTTCACATCGGTGGTGCTCAGTGCTTACTCCTGACTCTGTGCTTGGAATCACTCCTGGTGGGTCTCGGGATCATATATGATCCTGGGGATTGAACCCAAGTTGTCGGTGTTCAAGGCAAGTACCCTTGATACCACTGTACTATCACTCTGACCATGAAGATTTTTATTATGGGTATAGTTTGTCATTTTCTCTAATGCAGATAGTGCACTGGCCACTGGCTATGCCCCATAGTGCGGTGGGGATGCTGTTATGGGCTACCAAGGATTAATCTTAGGCCTTGAGCATGGGATGCATGAACCCCAAATCTTCAACATTTTTTCTCTATGGGCCACGGGGGCTGTGTGTGGGGGGGAGGCCTTTGTTTCTTTTTTTTTTTTCACTACACGCCACCCCCTATTTTGAAATTGTCTGCTTTAATAGCTTTTCCCTTCTGATGACCATATAAGTGACATGAATTTATTTTTAGCGAACTACCTCTCAAAATTTCTTCCTTTTTCTCCCACCAGGAAGGCAATTGAAGAACTGCTTAAAGAGGCAAAACGTGGGAAAACAAGAGCAGAGACAATGGGGCCTATGGGTTGGTAAGTTCTTGAATAATCTTGCTTAAAACTTAAAAAGTTGTTTTGTTTTTATTTTCTTGGATGATTCCCAGTGGGGCTCAGTGCTTAATTCCTGACTGTTCTTTGGGTTCATTCATATGGGGTGCTGAAGATTGAACCCAAGTTGGCTGTGTACAAAGCAAGCACCCAACCAACACCACCATTTCTCTGGCCCAGACCTTAAAATTTATTAAAAAGATCTTCTTTAGGGCCAGGATGATACAAGACTTTGGGTTCCATCCCCAGCATATTATGTCTCCATTCACCCATGGGAATGGTTCTGGAACCTAAGCACCTCTGGGTGTGGCCCCATAGCAATTAAGAATGAGAGATATAAATAAAATGAAATTAAAGCAAATGAAAACCAAATATTCTAAATTTGAATGGGAAATATCAGTACAAAGTACAAACTTTTCAGAGAGAAATTATAGCTCTGTTCACAGAAATAAACATCCTAGGAACAATGACCACCCACTTAATAGCAAGCAGTGTTTTCCTGGTACCAGATTGTGGTAAACTGAGAACTGGTTTTTTTTGTGTGTGTGTGTTTTGTTTTTTTCTGGAAAACAACAAAACCAAACCAGATCGTTCGTGACAGAGGTAACCATCTGTCAGAGCAGTCCCCAGGACCATCCTTGGCTTCTTAACAACTGCAGATTCAGGAAGTTCCTGAAACTACTCTCAGCTTCTGTCAGTTGCTAGGAAAACTAATAAAATTTGCAGAAAGCCATTATACCCACAGTTTCAGTTTCTCACAACAAAGAATACAGATCAAAATCAGTCAAAATAAGAAGGTGTAGAGCAGAGTATGGGAGCGGTCTAGATGCCAAGCCTCTGTTGTCTTTGTGAAATCAAGACACATTCCCCTCCCACAGTCACAGTATATAGCATTTGATATAGTTCTTTCGTCAGATTTATTCCTGGGTACTTCATTATTTTTAATATGAAACAATCTGATTTTTTCCTTGAATCCTTTTCCTTCCTAGACCTTCCTTAGCTAAACATATGCTTGCATATTGAAATTTTGCAGATTTTTAATAATGATTTTATAACCTACCACTTCGCTTTGTGAATTTATTGATTATAATATGTTGCACTGTAGCACTGTCCTCCCGTTGTTCATTAACTCGAGAGGGCACCAGTAATGTCTCCATTAGACTTGTTACTGTTTTTGGCATGTAGAATACGCCAGGGGGAGCTTGCCAGGCTCTGCCGTGTGGGTGGGATACTCTCGGTAGCTTGTCGGGTTCTCCAAGAGGGATGGAGGAATCAAACCTAGGTCGGCCGCTTGTAAGGCAAACGCCCGACCTGCTGTGCTATTAGATAATCATATTAGATTATTACATAATATTTTAGAGGAGTCTTTAAATTTTTTTAATGATATTATGTCATTTACAAATAGTGATTGTTCTTCTTTAGAAAGAGGGAATTTAGATTACTTATTTCTTAACTTTTTTTCCTTTTTTTTTTTTGCCTAATTTTTGTAGTCAATTTCCAAAACTATATTGAATAATAATGAGAGTGGACAACTTGTCCAGTGAGTAACTTAAAAGAAAAGTTTTCTATTTTTCACTGTTGAGTATTATTTTCTATGTTTTCAGAGAATGCCAGGGTATTTTGATGAAGATCATATTGTATCAACAAATTGTTTTGGATAAGATGGTTATTTTTTTCCCCATTTTTTAAAAACTGTATTGCAAGGGCGTATGGTGCCGCCAGCAGGTCAGTCTGTACCTGTGAGGTGAGTGCATCAGCAGCCTGATGGTGCCTTCAGACTTCCAGATACCCCAAAATTGCTGCTGTGCCTTTGGCCGGACCCCAAAGACTTAGGGCAAAGTTTGCCAAGAAAGTAAACAGCCAAAAGTTAGGTATGTGGGAAACATACCCACAAACCACCTCCGGCTCAGCTATATAATTGGAGGCATGGCCTCTCTGGTTCCTGATTGAACTGCTTAATGACCATGATCCCAGAGACACAGAAACAAATCTCGAAACCCAACAGCTTTTGGCAGAAATGCGTCCAGTCCCCACAGTAGGTTACTGGTGCTGGGCCAACCCAGGAGGGAATAGGTTTCGTGCCTTGGCCTGTTGCCCCCAGCGGCCCAGTGGCCACATCCTTCAGAGGCCACTGGAGAGTCAAGTTTGGGCCCCCAGTGACGAGACACGCAGGGCCTCACAGGATAGGGGTGGAGCCGGTCCTGTACTCCCCACCCCAACGAGATCCCAAGTCGTCGCCCACGAATGGCCTCTCTGGCTCCTGATCAAGCTGCTGAATGGCCATGATCCAGAGACTCAGAAACAAATCTCGAAACCCAGTGGCTTTTGGCAGAAATGTGTCCGGACCCCACAGTACGTTACTGTCGCCAGGCCACCCCAGGGAGGAAAGGGTGTTGTCACTTCACCTGCTCCCCCTTGGCAACTCGGTGGCCGTCATCCTCCAGAGGCCATTGGACAGTCAGGCTTGGGCCCGCAGTGACGAAACTTGTTGGGCCTCACAGGATGGGGGTGGGGGGGAGCAGGGCCTGTCCTCCCCACCCCAACGAGACCCCAAGTCATCACCCATGAACAGCTTCTCTGGCTCCTGACCAAGCTGCTTAACGACCTTGATCCCAGAGACTCAGAAACAAATCTCGAAACCCAGTGGCTTTTGGCAGAAATGCATCCGGATCCTGCAGTAGGTTACTGTCACTGGGCCACCCCAGGGGGGAAAAGGTGTTGTCCCTCCGCCTGCTCCCCTTTGGCGGCTCAGTGGCCGTCATCCTCCAGAGGCCATTGGACAGTCAGGCTTGGGCCCACAGTGACAAAACTTGTTGGGCCTCACAGGATGGCGGGGCGGGGGGAGAGCTGGGCCTGTCGTCCCCACCCCAACGAGACCCCAAGAGGCCCACGAACAGCCTCTCTTGACTCCTGATCAAGCTGCTCAACGGCCATGATCCCAGAAACTCAGGAGCAAATCTCGAAATCAGTGGCTTTGGGCAGAAATCCCTCCAGATTTAAGTGTTAAAATTTTGGAATTTCAAAATCACATGGCCCTACTGCAGCTACGTGACATCATATGTTATTCATAACCAGCAATACAACACAAATTGTCTACTGTTGCCTTTTCAGCAGATCTGAGTGTTGGGGTAAAATCTCAAATAATAATGGTGGGTCTGGTGTCGAAATATTGAATGTGATCAAAGTAGAGAGAGAGTAATGTGGAAATCATCTGCCCCACAGGTAGGGGGAGGGTGTGGGATGGGGGTATACTGGGGTTTTTGGGGGTGGAGAATGGGCACTGGTGAAGGTACGGGTGTTTCATTGTATGACCGAGACTTAGACCCGAAAGCTTTGTAACTGCTCTCACGGTGATTCAATAGATAAAATTATAAAAAATTTAAAAAAGTAGTAGCACAGCGGGTAGGGCGTTCGCCTTACACGCGGCCAACATGGCCGACCCGAGTTCGATTCCTCCGCCCCTCTCGGAGAGCCCGGCAAGCTACCGAGAGTATTCGATATGCCAGACACAGTAACAACAAAGTCTCCAATGGAGACGTTACTGGGCCTGCTCGAGCAAATCGACGATCAACGGGAGGGCCTTTTACCTTTTAAAAAAGTAGTAAGGTGGAGTTCATGCACAATTCAATCAGCTAATCAGTGGCTGAATAAATAGCAGTGCTCCTACATTTAAAAAAATTGAATCGCAGTGATATGCACATTTGCAAAGTTGTTCATGATTGGATTTCAGTCATATAATGTTTCAATGGCTATCCCTTCACTGGTGTACTTTTCCATACCCCCAACCCCCAAATCCCACCACTTGCCACTATGGCAGGCACTTTTCTTCTCTCTCTCTCTCTCTCTCTCTCTCTCTCTCTCTCTCTCTCTCTCTTTGTCTCTGTCTCTCTCTCTCTCCCCCCATTTGTGCCTTATAGTTTGCAATACAGATAATGAAAGGTTACTTATACTGTTCAGTCAGCGTAATCAATGGCTGAATAAATAGCAGTATTCCTACAGGGAGGGAGGGAGGGAGAGAGGGAGGGAGAAAGGAAAGAAAGAAAAAAAGAAAGAAAGAAAGAAAGAAAGAAAGAAAGAAAGAAAGAAAAAGATAGGTTGTCTGTGCTCTTCACCCTCCGCACATTCTTGTGGCAGGCTTCCAACCATTGACCTGTCCTCCTGATCCCCCTGTTTAGCCTCACCTTGGATATTAATCTCATTATATGTTTATTTACATATATTTATATGTACACACACACATATTATATCCCACAGATGAATTCATTCTGTATAACTCTCCTTCTGAGTCATTTCACTCAAAATGATACTCTCCATGTCAATCCATTTATAAGCAATTTCATTACTTCATTCTTTTAACAGCTGCATAGTATTCCATTGTGTAGATGTACCATAGTTTCTTTTTCCAGTCATCTGTTCTTGGGCACTCGAGTTGTTTCTATATTCTGCTATTGTGAATAGTGCTGCAACAAACATCAAAGTACAAACGACATTTCTGCTGTGTGGCATTGCTGGGTAAAATGGGAGTTCAAATTCTGGTTTCTTGAGGAATGTAAGATGGTCATTTTAATGATGTTCATTCAATCCATGAGCAAGGAATTTATTTCCATTTCCTCGTGTTTTATTGTCTTTCAGAAGTGGTTTCTGGGTTTTTGTTTTTTTTACTAAGTAGATCTTTCACCTCTTCAGTTAGATTGATTCCTAGATACTTGAGTTTTTGTGAACATGATCATAAATGAGGATAGGTTTTTAAATCCCTTTCTCTTCTACGTCTTCATTTACATAGAAGAATGCAACAGATTTCTGTGCATTGATTTTAATTAGTCTGCTACTTTACTGTATTGCTTTACTGTTTTTGATGGAGTCTTTAGGATTTTCTGAATTCCTTTAATTTCTCTTTCTTATCTAAATGATGTGGCTAGAACTTCCAGTTTTGTGTTGAAAGTTCAAGTAGAGAACTAGAGCAATAGTATAGCGGGAAGGGCATT